GTTTCCGTAACGTAAGTTACCGTACGTTACTTTCGGTTAGTTCTACTGTTTGTTCCCGTTCCGTTCGGTCGGCGGTCGTCCGTCCTCGTCGTCCTCCCTCCTCTCTCTCTCACACACACACCTCTCTCTCTCTCTCTCTCTCTCTCTCTCCCCCCCCCCCCTCCTTTCTCAATCCCCTCTTCGCGGCCCGCACGCCTCCTTTTCCCTTCTCGAACGCTATCCCCACGCCGGTCCATCATCAGCTCGGCATCGCATCGCTTGCATGGCCTGCGGACATGGACCGCGACCTCGAGCCCGGTCCATCACACGCCACCTCGTCCGCCCCCTCCAACAACAAGCGCAAGTACCACGACACCCTCACCCTGGGCCCCATCCACCACCTTGGCCGTCGCAACCAAGACACCTCCTCGCCTCCCTCCTCCCCGGCCTACCACCACAACTCAGACGTCCACGATGCTCCACCTCGTCTCGCTGTCAGCGACGACCTCATGACCAGCCAAGGTCAGAGGGCCCTCGTAGCACGCACCGCACCGCACATCCTCGACACGGCCTCTCCCGCCCCCTCCAGGACGCCATCGCTCCCGCTTTCAGGACGCTCCAGCCCGACCTCCGAATACGACCACTCGGCCTCCGCCCAGCCTAACACCTCTGCCGCACCGCCCACCTCGTCCAAGCATGTCTCGACCCTACACAAGGTCCCCGAAGGCTACCGCGGTCCCGTCCCCCTAAAGCATGACGCCGAGGAGATTGTCAATCGACTGCAGCTTGTCCTCGCTCCAGGCTCCTCCACCCTCTACAACACCACCGGCTTCCCCGTCAACCGCAACCAGTGGCGCTACACGGGCGCAGGCCCAGCCACTCAGCACCTGCCCACCACCGTGTACCGCACCCTCCAGGTCGCCCCCGACTGCATACACTGGTGCTGGTCCGATCGCTCGGCCTTCTCCAAGCTCAGCAAGGACGCCACCATCTTTAGCACCGACAAAGGCTTCCGCAGCGGGCGAACCAACGTCGGTGTCCGCCAAGGCGAGTGGTACGCAGAGGTCGAGATACTGGCGCCGGAACAGCCGGCCCTAGGCGTTGGTGCGCAGCTAGCCGCGCCGATGAAGGACGGACCACACGTCCGCCTGGGTTGGGGTCGCAGGGAAGCGCCGCTCAACGCTCCCGCGGGCTTCGACGGCTACTCGTACGCCTATCGCGACAGGGGCGGAGAAAAAGTCACCCTATCGAGGCCCCAGTCCTATGGCAGGCCCTTCAAGGCAGGCGACGTGGTGGGCCTGTACATCAAGCTGCCGCCAGAGCGGGAACCGCAGGATGAATGGGATCCGGCCACGATCCGGCGCGAGCGGCTGCCAATCCGGTACAAGGGTCAGCTCTACTTTGAAGCGCTCGAGTACGGCCGCAGCCGTGAGATGGAACAGCTCAAGGACCTCAGCCGCAAGGGCCTCAGCCCTGAAGACGCATTGGCTAGCATCGACAGCGCTGCCAAGGGCGAAGCGAGCTCGGACCCTTCAGGATCCGCCGCAGCGCTCGGGTCAGCGGGAGGCCCAGCCAAGGTCAAGAACAAGAGCCGGAACAGGGCCCCGGGCGGCGCTGGCGGCCCCAAAGACAAGTCTGCCGGTCCAAGGAAGCCGCACCTGCGGCCGCTGCCACGGCTCGCTGGGAGCAAAGTGGGGTTCTTTGTCAACGGCGAGCCTCAGGGCATCGCGTTCACCGACCTCTTAGACTACCGCCCGCTGAGGATCAAGTCTGCAGACTCTAGCAGGTCATCAAAGGGTGGCGGCGCAGGCGGAGGGTCCACCAAAGACTCTCACAAGTTCTCCGACACGGCGCCGGCCGTGCGAAGCCGCGAAAACATCTTCGACGATGGGGCTCTGGGCTATTTCCCATTCGTATCGTGTTACGGCAACGCGCGAGCCAGGCTCATCACGGGCGACAATGGGTTCCGCTTCCCCCCTCCGCACGACATCGAAGCTGCACTCTGTCGAGCCGATCGGGCCAAGTCGTCTTCCGTTCCGTCGAACGACGCCATGGCGAAGGGCAACGACAAGATGCGAGATCAAGTGGACGATGCATGGAACAAGGACGTCGAGATGCACCAGACGGACGAGGCGGAAAGATGCCGCTGGAGACCGTTGTGGGAGCGGTACGCCGAGCACCTTGCCGAGCAGTGGCGGCACGACCTGGCGGATGAAGCGAGGGCGGCCAAGATGGCAGCGGAGGAGGCAGAAAAGCAGCGGCGCAAAGATGCCAGCAAGGCGGCGGCCGCCGCAGCAAGGAGGGAGAAAGCACAGCGAGCCAAGTCGGTCTTTGCGGATGGCGGAGTGGGGTCAAAGCGGAGTTCGGCGAGCGCATCCGCTTCCCCTGCACCCAACGTAGTTGCTCTGCCGCCGGACGATGGCAGTCTGGCCTCGCAGTCCATGTTCATCGGCAATCCGGGCGCAGAGCACGGCAACGACCTCGACGGGGTGCGGACGCCCTCGCTCCCCCCGGCTTCCCCGGCGACGGCGGTCAAGAGCGAAGAGTGGGCAACGGCCGAGCCGCCCTCGTCCACGGAGCCCGGCCGGCAATTGACGCCGCCGCCACGTCGGCTGCCGATCGAGGAGGAGTTAGCGCATCAACAGTGGGCGGAGAGGCAGAGGCAGGACGAGGAGACGAGGATGCACCTGGAGATGATGTTTCGTGCGGCCAGGGACGACGAGATGCGTGATCTCGAGAGCGACCTCGATGCGGATGCCGACGCCGACGGCGAGGTGGTGGCGGATGACGTCGTCATGGCCGACTCCCAACGGAACGACAGCTCGGTTCTTTGAAAGAGACTGTCGCTTCCGCCCGGCGCACTCGCACCAACCTCTCACCCCTGCCGCTGACGGCGGCTAGTTCGGCCTCGTTCACGCCAGCAGACCGAGCAGGTCTCTCAGCTTGACCTGCAAAGCGATTCGACCGGGGGCACGACGGTAGCTCGAAGACACAAGGAGGGTAACATTGCTGTCCGGCGATCCGGCGCGCGGATACCGGGCTTCTCTATCTCGCCGGCGCCGTGCCGATGCACTCGGGATCCAGTCTGCCAATCTCGACCCACTTTTCGATGAGGTCGCACACGCCTGGGTAGCCGCCGCGTTCGGCACCCGCGGCGTTGGATGCGACGGCGCCGCCGCCGCTGCCGCCGCTCGTCTTGAACTCTCTGAAATCGAAGAGGCGGTTTTCGGTGCCAAAGGCGATGAAGTGGGCGAAGAGCGAGTTGAAGTGGCCCTCGCAGCAGAGGTGCAGGAGGTGCGGGAACTGGGCATGGTAGATGTGCGCGAAGACGCGCAGCAGCTGCTTGTAGATGTGCTTGCACGTGGTGAGGAACGTGGGCGGGAACTCCCGGGCTGCGGTCGGGGAGAAGGCGGGGGCGCAAAGCAAGAGAAACGGTCAAGAGCCGGGCAAAGGCGACTTGACATGGGGGCAACCCGGCAAGCTGAGCAGGGTCACGGCACCCACCTGCTTTTGTCGGAAAGGTGGCCTCGTCGCTCAGCAGGCCTCCGACCCAGGTCATGACGTAGTCGATGTACTGGGGAGCCGGAAGCTTGACTTGCTTGCGATTTTGATCGATCCACGTGTAGTCGAGGCTGCCAGCAGAGGTCAAAGAGGGCATGCGTCATAGTGTGTTGATCTGGCGGGTCAGCTTACCACGCCTTGCTCGGTAGCGGCCTGGATAAAGCAAGACGTACCCGACGCCCGCCGACATGGTGGGGTTGTTCTGGATGGTGCAAAATTCGGTGAGGACGCCGTAGAACTGGTTGAGATTGTTGAAAAAGTCAAAGACTGAGGGATTGCAATGCGGACAGGGCCACGACAAGGACGTGGATGGCGTCAGTGACGGCAAAACCTCTCGCACATGCGTCTGTTGTGCGCCTCTGGCTGGTCATGACACCCACGGTTCACTGCGACCCATTCCTTTGGATCGACGTATTTGGGTACAGTGACGATCGACTTGAGGCTGCCCTTGACCAGCGTGGCACCGACGAAGGGCTGGCACAGGTAGAGCGGCCTTCCATTGGCGCCGAGGCTGGATCCAGAGGCCGAAGCCGAGGTCGGGCTGCGCGGATAGCTTTGCTGGAGGTTTGCGCTGTTTGGGTCAAACGTGGGCATCGACGTCTGGGTGGGCGACTTCTTGGGACGTGATGATCGGCCCATGGAACGGCTGAGAAACGCGGACAGGAACGAGACAGCGCGGTCAGCGCAAGGCGTCGCAGACACGGTGGAGACTCGTTCGAGGGAAGCGCGGGTGCGGCAATCTACCCTATGGAGTTGAAGAAGCTCATGGCGTCTCTCGGTGGAACAGGCGGCGATGACGACGAGACGAGCTTGAGGTTTCCGCTGCCTTCGTTTCGATTATCTAGGTGTTGAGGTCGCTGGCCATCAATGGGGGCGAGGTGGCGAGAAGGCGAGGCAAGGCAACTCTGATGTGATGGTAATGGTGATGCAGGTGGGCTCGCCAGCCAGCAGGGGCGGAAAGGGGCCGCGCTCGGGCCTCCGCTGTCCGTCGTTGTATGCAACTCGGCCGAATAAAGATCGACTGCAAGTGTGCGTGAATTCACGGAAGTCGGAGGTCGGATTTGCAAGGAGAGGCCTCCTCAGACTTGCGGCTCCCGGCAGGGCTCCGCGGACCCCGCGTGCCGATCCCCCGCACTCAACTGTTCTTGGCTGCCGCACCTTCTTAGCTTGCCGACGCCGCACACAACCGACGGTACGAACGAACATCAAGCATGTATATGCATGTGCCTTGCTTGGGAAGAAAAGGCTTGGCCGAACCTTCTCCTCACACGCCAGCTAGCCTCACCACCGCCTCATGTCGCGTTATTCCGGCGCCCGAGCTATGGAAGTCTCTGTAGGCTCGTCTGGCCAGGCTAGTCTATCGATGGCTACTACAGTACAGTACTCTCTCGGCATCGTATGCAGCCATCCTGGTCTCAGCCCCGTTGTGCGCAGTCGGGGGTGAGGTGCTTCTCTGCACGAAGGGCCCATCTAGATTATTGTTCCGTCGCATCTTGCGCCGGACGTTGGCGCCGGTGCACGTCGCAAGCGTACCAGCCCCGCCATGCCGGCACGATGGGCAGCAGTCAAGCAAGGTAGCCACACACACCCTTACTCTCCTACTCTCTCTCGACGCCTCGCTCCACAATGAAATGACATTCGGCGGACGTACCACCATTGCTCAGAGATTCCTTGGGTCACGGTCAAGCACTGCCACGGCGGCCCGCGCACCGCCGCGATTGACCACTGTGCAAAGAGACGAGGACAGGATCCTGAACACCCTCGTCGTGCCTTCGACACTGGAACCGCAGCAGCGTCTATCATGGAAAAATTTGCAGTAAGTACTTAGTAGAGGGCGTGACGCCCGGCAACGCCTTTCACTAGAGTTGTGGGCCATGTTGTGGCTCAGGCTAGGGCTAGGGGCTCGTCGGCACAGTCTTTAGTCGACTGCTGAGCTACCTACATTTGATTGATTAAGAGCAAGTCGCGAACCTCGACTGACCCGCCGCATACCCGTATGGCGCGGCCGCGGGCGTGTCTCCAATCCACTTCATGAGCCAAGCTTGCCGAGCCAAGATCGAATGAGCGCCTCCCCGCGGTCGCGGCACACCATCTCGCGAGATACATACATGCATACATTAACGTCTGGACATGTGCAAGCGACGTCCGCCCTCGGCAGCAACGCGGCCGGATACGCAAGCCGGCAAAACAACACATACACCAGCATGCAAGCAGCCCTGACCCTTTCGTGCTCGTCGAAGCGGCAGCGGCGTAAGTACAAACAGCAGCGGAAGCATCTGCAACGCCAGATGGACACCGGCCCTCGCCTCCCCCGCTCGACTTCGTCTGGATTGCCTTGCGATTGTTGCTGCAGTACCTACTGGTACCGTCTGCCTGCCTAGGTATCTGGCCTCGCCCTTCCTCTATGGAATGTGTCGCGCGTGAGAGAGGGGCAAGCGATGGTCACTTTGTCCGTCGACGGTCCTGTCTCAACAGAGCGGACACGAACATCGCCGCAATCGACCGCTAAGAGTCCTGCTCATGGACGAGCCACCTGAGATCCTCAAATACCGTCAATCGGCGGATCTCCCTATCGGTTCGACCCGCATCCCTCCCTCCCTTCATCCGACGTTCCCTCTGTCTTGCCCTCTCCTTCCTTCCCTTCTCCTTCCATACCCCTCCCACGACGCCGTTCGACCGGCCTCGAGCCCCGCTTTCCGCCATGCACATGCGTACCCTTGCCCCTCTGCTCGCCGCGCTCGCCGCGCTCGCCGGCCTTCCCGCGGTCCTTGCTCGTCCCTTTGACGGGACCGGCACTGATTTCCTCCTCCCTCGTGCCAACCCAGACTTCCCCAATCCCAATGTTGACCCCTTCTACCAGGCGCCCGACTCGCTCGCGCCTGCTCAAAACGGCCAGGTCCTCAAGCGGAGGCCGGTGCCCACCACTATCCAGAGCATCCACCTCGACTCGACCTACCAGCTGTACTACCGCACCGAAAACACCCAGGGATCGCCGACGGGTACCGTCGCCACCATCTTCGTGCCCAAGAAGCCTGCCTCGCCTCCCAAGGTGCTCTCGGTGCAATGGTACGAAGACGCGGTCTCGTTCGACTGCTCGCCGAGCTACGCGCTGGTGCAGAACAGCGGCTCGTCGAGCGCCGTCATCGCTTTCCTAGACATTGGAATCTACACGCAATGGGCGCTCTCCCAGGGATACTACGTCGTCCAGGCCGACCATGAAGGGCCCAAGGCGTCGTTCATTGCCGGCTTCAACTCAGGCAAGGCGGTTCTCGACGGCATCAAGGCCCTGATAAACGACCAGAAATTGCCCCAGGATACCCAGGTGGCCATGACCGGCTACAGCGGAGGTGCTCACGCCACCGTCTGGGCCGAGACGCTGCACGAGGAATACGCGCCCTCGATCAAGCTCGTCGGCAGCGTGCATGGCGGTACGCCAGTGGACCCTCGAGGCACCTTGCTCCTCATCAACAAGGGTCCATTTGCCGGCTTCGCCTTTGCTGGCCTCATCGGCCTCATGTCGCAGCACCCCGACCTCGATGCATATGTGCGGTCCATCCTCGGCGACGCCGGCAGGAAGAAGCTGGCCGAATTCACGTCGAACGGCTATTGCTTGCCCTCGGTGGTCGCCTTGTCGCCCTTCCAGGATATCTTCTCGTACACCAACGCGACTGACCCCATCAACAACCCGAGGGTTGTCAAGGTCCTCAAGGAAGAATCGCTGCTGAGCAGCTACTCGAGCCGATCCGTGCCCGTGCCCAAGCATCCGCGCCTCATCTTCCACGGCGTCCTCGACGAGATCGTACCCTACAAGGACAATGCCCAGTACGTCCGCGAACAGTGCGCCAAGGGGGCCGACATCCAGTTCAACTCCCTGGTCGCCGAGCACATCACCGGCGAGCTGTTCGGCATCGTCGGCGTCATCAACTTTCTCAAACAGTCGTTCGCAGGCGAGATCCCCAAGGTCAAGTGTGGTAGCATCCTCCCCGATTATCAGATCGGCCTCTTCGACCCCCGAGCCGACGACATCATGGGCAAGGATATCGCCGATGAGGCCCGCAGCCTCAAGGGCAAGAAATCGCCTTTCGGCGGCAACTTTTAGAAGTGTCGGCCGTCTCGCCATGGGTTTTGTTGACGGCTTCCGCCGATGCTTCATAGCTAGGGGCAGGCTTTGGCCTACGATTTCGGAAATCGGAGATGATCTACGAAAGTGCAGTGCCGTAGGACATCGTTAATCCCCTACGACCCCTGGGTGCCGTAGGTGGGCCTACGGCATTTTTGGCCGTAGGCATCCTACGGCCTGCTTACCGTAGGCCTACCTCCGCACTCAACAGCCGTATACTCTACTGGCATTGTATTGCAAAATCTAGTTACACTGATACATGGCGGCGCAGCGACAGCATTGGAGGGTGGCAGGGCAAGCAGGCAGGAAGGCAGGCAACAGCGCGGCAGCAGCAACGGTGGTAGAGCGTCAGCAGCAAAGTGAGGCGGTGAGAGAGGGGCAGCAAAAGGAAGAGTGGAGCGAAGGAGTCAGCAACGGCGCGCGGCAGAGCGGCAGAAGGACAAAGCAGCAACAGTCAACTCACAAGAGCGGCAGCAGACCAGCAGACAACGGTAAGGTGAGCTGTGCAGGTGCAGGCGGAGCGGAAACAAGGCGGTCAGTGGTCTCAATCATCGGAGACGCTGGAGGAGGCCTCTCCAAAGTCTCCGATGATTGACGGCGGCAGCAGGGCGGAAGCAACGGCAGAGCGGAAGCAGCGGCGGCTGGCAACTCACTG